GAACTATCTGCTTGAACAACTTGGCGAAACTATCATTGATAAAGATGATTGTTATAGATATGAAATAGTTAATCATCGATAACATTTAATGATGGTATCATAGTATTATGAAAATAGGAACAACTGTGAGACTGGCAGCGTTCATGATGCATAACAGCGAATTTCCATTATCTTGTTCTGTTGTAGATTATGAGTACTTTATACCGAGGGGTTCATACAAAGCGAAAACAATTATGAAATACGTTTATGTGAATTTTCAATATTTCCCATCTTATATCAGTTTGTGATGATGATATGTTGGCCAATCGATATGCTTGAATGCTGTTTCGAGTTCACCTTACTCGGTACAGTGACACGACAGGCTATTCTAATCCGATGTACCAGGCCCTGCTAACAAAAGCAAGTAGTCTTGATAAAGCGTAAAGAGTGTATTCTACAAGTACCTAGAAAATACGAGGTTGCTAAGCACACAAATCAAGCTTATTTATACAATGATAGCAACGCCCATGGGAAAGCCACAATATAGCGTACTATAAAAATCCGTCAACCATTGACAGTTAAGGATTTTTGAGTGGGAAATGTAAGTTGTAGGTCGGCTAAGCGTCTCTGGGCGCGAAAACATAGAAATCCAAATTTTCAGAAATAAATAACAAAATTAAGACTTTTTCCAAGTGAGGTCTGTTGATCTAACCTTCCCAACATATAAACAGCATCTTCATAATGAACGAATCATTTTTAACCAGATGTAGTTTATATATGAAAATTGTATTAATATAAACATCGTTTCAATAGTTGTCATTATTTCTAATTTAAATGAAATAGGAAATTTTTATAGAGGTATACAGTGCTAATATTTTTTACGTGTCTAACAAACGAATATTTCATTCAACTGTTTAATATATGAACTAGATAGACGACAATTTAATCAATCTTTTAATAAATAAAGGAAAAGTCAACACTTCAAAATGTAATAAGACCTCACCACCTATGATTTCTTAAGAAATTTACTTAAAAATAATATAGATTTGACCGAAGCAATGTGAAACTAATCAGTAAACATTTCAAAATATCATTACTAATTGGGATGCTAAACACCTACTGTTTTCACAAAGTTTATAAAGTATACTGCTGGAAATGTTATTATTTTGACAGTTGACTGTAGAGTTAGTTAAATATTTACGTGCATGCACAGCAATGTGAACCAGAGTAATCCGTAAATAAATTAACGATGCCTGTGATTTGCAACATGTAACTCTGAATTTAAGAAATAAAATTTACAGCTGATAAATTAAGGATTGTTGGTAAAATGAATCAAGATGAAATTTTCAGCATTAGACAAGTAATATATAGTATTAACTTGAATAAGTGTATAGGCAAAGTGAAGTGCTAGCACTAATAATAACAACAATCTTAACATAACATTCTAGTCGTTTTAATATCGACATTTTTATTTTATTAATAATCTCAAGTTCTAATGTTGTAATCGACAAAATAAATGGATGTACCCCAAACTTGATTATCCCTGTGGAACATTGATCTGGATATATAACTACAAGGCCTAATGAGAACGTATGGAATAGAATATTTTTCATGCATGTGCCTATGTTTCAATATGAAGAAAAATTTTAAACACTGAATAAAGTATTTTAATCTAAAATGTGGGGCTGCTCTTTCGACTTCCAAATATATATGAATAGAATCTCTTATAATGCTTAGAATTAAGGATAAACTGACCAATCCAATAAACCATACAATTATTGCACTTGTTCTTATAACACAAGAGAGTGAATTCATTGATTGTGAATGGTGTCTATAAACAACAGTCGGAAATAAATGAGTTAAAAGTTAAGTTGGGTAGCGACTGGAATTGAAATTCAGAGGGCATGTTTTTAGCTTGTTTGAGACATATTAGCTGAATATATCAGAGCCGCAGTACTGATATTCATATTGCAGGTTTAATCTAGGACGTCTGGATTCAAATGCCGTGTCATCCACTGGATCACTGATTCCAGATAGATATTCACGTGCCCAGCTGTTTTAAATTCAGTTTATTGTAAATGATATTTAATCACATCCTAGTTGATATTCTTGACTAAATTTTGGTCAGTCACAGTTAGTACTAGTATATTCTCAGTTAATTTCCTCAGTTTTGTTGTCCTTAACATAAAATGGGGAAAGAAAATAAAAACTTACAAAATAAATAAGTTCATTGTGCACCGAATTCTCCCCACCTATCGTAACATAAGCTGATTTACATCCCGAATCTTTTGAGTAGTTGTACTGTCTAAAAGCTAGAACAACCTACGGAAGCGTGACAATATTGGGCGCTTACACGCTAAACATTATGAAGTAACTAATTTTTAAAATACGCTAAAATAATGTTGTTTCCTTAATCAGTCAGTGATATCTGTATTGCTTCAGTCATGACAAAAAAATATCATTATTTTCTAAAAGTTTTATTCAAACATTTTTTATGACCTAGACGTTGACGTTGATTAACAGTGTATGACCTAACTTTTCTCCTATATGTGCACACTAATGAAAAAAATATATAGAAACTAACAAATTAAATTCGTTCATAATCATTATCTAGAAGGTAAAGTTTTAACTTTTTATGTGGACTAGATTTATTACAATTGTTTAATAATTTATACAATGTAGATTATATGGTCCAATTAATTTATATTTACATTTTAACTACCGCCTGTGGAATAAATGATAATGAAGAATATTTTCATTAAGAAATACATTTATATCGATAGTCAATAATTGTGTAACATTTATTAAAACACTCTATTTAACCTACCACAGTTTATCAGCCATCAAATGTTATACAAGTACTGTTGTTATATAGTTAAATTATTCCCTACAATTCTGTTTTTAAATTACAAATATAAGATATGTCAAAACAGATAAAATGTAATATATTTACAAAAACACTTTATGAATTAATTGAAAATTCTTAAAATTGATAATGTAGTCATACGGAAAGAATTTATTTACTTTCTATTGAAACCTACATATGCGTGCATCAATTACAAAACAAAAAAGTCTAAAACAATGAAAAATGTAAGGGGATGATGTTTACAATGACAGTACTATAAAATCTATGCAATTTCTTAAAATTCAATCAAATTCAACTTCAATCCCCTGTTTAGCTTGACACGTTGGCAATTTAACTATTCAACTGCTTTGAATGACCTGGAAATTTTAATTCAGTCTATTCTTTTTCCCTATATTTCTATTGATTTAATATCAAATGCTTGACAAATAGTAATAAGTAACAAGTGATCGACCTAAGAGACTGAATATATTATTCCGTTTTATGTTGAGAATAAAGTAGATCGTTTTCGGAATTAGTTGAGCGAAGAATAAAATTAACAACATGGATAATTTTTCAATCATGAACCTTTGAAAATAACTCGGGAATGAACATTCGTTTTCACTGAAGTTGCGTAGTTCATCATCAATGCCCATCCGACCAGAAAGTGATGATTATACAGTAAGAATGCCCTTATTTTTGTTACTGCATCGGTAGGCTAATATGTCAACTCTTTGATCTCAGTCAAAAATACATTAATTTTGCTTAATTCAAAGTTAAAACATGTTTGATCAAGTCAACTTCACAGTTTTTCTATATAGTTTTCAACAATCGATCTAAAAGCTACGACATTCTATTAAAATAATTGTACCAGTATATGTAATTTGGTTGATAATATTGTTCAGAGCTTTTTACGGCTTAAAATAAAAGCTTAGAAAATATATACTATCATGTTAAGCAATATAGATCATGCAATTTGAAAATTATTAAAGATCAAATGGTCTGAATAAAACGATACACAGAATTAATTTGATCTGAATGTAATCTTGATGAATTTGAAAATAAAAAGATTATTTATTATTTCACAGCAGGAGTGTTTTGTCATGTAAGTTGTCATTAACAAAATAACTAGTTTTCAGTTGCACCTATTGAACGAATGTTTTAGTTTGCCTAAAATACTTTACTATTCATTTGGAAAATCGATTGAGTTAGCTACCATTTATTTAAGGAAACTATGTTTTTACTTGAAAATCAGATAAGAATTAATCAGTCAGACATGTTTGAATTTGAATTAATAGGTACTCATCAAAATCTGTCTTATTCGCCAATAATCATTGATGCATCTATAAAAATGAAGTATTTGGTTAGTCTCTTCATACTACATAGTCTTTTTTCTTATCAAACATGTGAATTCGGAGAAAGCGAATTATTTCTTTGCTTTTTCCAGCAAAAAACCTTTATTTATAAACACGCCTACATAATAATAATAATCATTTATCATTAATTATTTCCCTACAACTAATAAGATGGGTTTACATTATATTTTTACAAACTATATCCATTTTGAGTGTATAAGCGAAAGACCTTTTCTGCTTGTAAAGATGTTCAATGCGATAAGATGTCTCCGTTATTATATCTAAATATCTTAATAGCTTATCTATGTTCAATAAATGTGAAGTTGAAAATGAGCATAGACTTTATTGATTATATTTTAAATGGATGTAAACTATGTTCAATGGTTAAATTTCCCAAAAATAACACTATTGATTGAGTAAATGATAATTAGGTAAGCTAATTATTTAGTCGGAAATTTATCCAAAAAATTTGGTTTTACGAGATGTTTATCTACGGTGATGATCAATGATGTGTAATGAAGATGAGGTTATTTCTCAAATTGTTCAATGTTTAAAATAGTGATTTCGATATTAAGAAATAGTGAATGAATGCTATTAGACAGAAATGTCTTGAATTTTATCCCAAATGTGATGAAGAATGCATCGATTCCCTAAATGTACATAACTAGAACAAATCAGCTGTTCATTGGTCATGGTTAAAGTTATTTACAAACTGGACTATTTACTACCAACAAATTCTTAAATACAACTTTAAAAGATATTTATATATGTGTAGTAAATTTTTAGAGATTTCAATTATTAACAAACTTGTAAGTAGTAGTTACCTTAGCAGGTAAAGATGAAGATGGGTGATCCATAAATAACCACATTCTATATCGCCATTTTTTCCATCCTCTTGAAAATTTCACAAGATTTTGCATTGAATCAATATCTTCAAAACAATCACGAAATAATGTATTCTTTGTTCGTTTTTCTTCATCATATCGCATATAAGCAGGCATACAACAAGGACCAATTAATGCTTCATCAATACCCCAAAATATTAATTCTTTACGTACAAATGGACCACATATACTTGATGGTAAATGTAATTCACCAGTTCTATAATAATCTAATACAAAACGAAATATTTCTGGATCACGATCATAAAAGTAAACAATTGGTGGTGTTGTCATTATTGGTGCATTCGATAATTGAGTAAACTGATTAGTTGATGTGGATGATAAATATGAAATAGGTTTATTCGACGATGATTGATATAAATCAACACCAGGTGATGGATTTACTATTGGAGTAGTAAAACCAGAGCCACGATTTCGACATATTGATGAAGCTGATTGTAAATTCATATTTCCTGCAACCATTGATGCAATATTATCAGGCAGAATTGATGCCCCACCAATTAAAGCCCCATCATTTGGTCCATTTCCCATTGTTCTACCAGATGGTTGTGATTGTGATAGATAGTTTGAAGTCATTTCAGAATTGTTATTTCTGTTTGATTGAACAAAATCATCGCCTATATTGAGTTGATTTGTATAATTCCTATTTGATTCTTGATTACTTGATCCTTGTGTAGCAATTAAATAAAGTCGACTATCTGGTAATCGATAAAGTGTCGCTCTCCTAGTCACAAATAATCGGCCACCAATACATAGACAGATTAAATCACCGGGTTTACCAGAGCTCTGTGATGTTCCAACCATTTTTTTGAAATTCTATATTCAATAATAAATGACTATTAAGTTCAGTTTAAATGGTCTATTCTAATACTGGATCACCTAGAGAATGAAGTATAAAAATAGGGAAGTTTCTTTTAGCATATGAATAGCACAATTCCATAAATCAAAATCACTGAGTTATATAACTGTCATTGAAATTGGGTGGGATGAAAATAGCTTTGTAAATACACAGTCGTAGTAAGAAACAATTACCTGATGATGAGTATATCTCAAACAACATCCGTACCTGAGTGTACAAATGCATTTCTCTCTTGTTTGGAAAGTATATATCACTGAGTCTTCATCACATATTTTCTACCATTAGTAGGCATACAAAAGTTTGAATACATGTCCAGTGAACGAATATGAAACCAAGGGAACTAATTTCATATTATGAGTGAAATGTTTTTTTGAATGTAATATCCTGTGTGTTATACAAACGTCTTTTATCAAAATTATCGATTATTTTACGTGACTTTTGTTGATTAAGTAATTATCTTAATAAAAATAAAGTAAACTTTATAGCAAAATAAGTTTATAATTATTTATTTTGTTGAACAGTTTTTACTTGAATAGATTTGATTAAAGCTTTTCAAATGTCATGTTTCAACAAAATGAATTAACTATTTTACAACAAGAAACTCAGTTTTTTCAATTAGAGTTATGCAGATTAGTATTCTTTTACACATTTGAAATCATCAATAAGTCATTGTTAGACTATCATTAGAAACCTGGAAGCACTGGACGGCCGTGAGGTCGCGCAAAATCCCTAAATCAGTCAGAGCTAGACACTGTTTGATCACGGCCCAGTAGTCCAGAAGTTGGGGGTTTGCGCACAAGACCGAAGGTCCCGGCTTCGATCCCTGCGAGGTGCAGGAGTGGTGGATGAGCACTGTTGATGAGTCCTATACTAAGACGGAACGGTCGTCCGGTGCTTCCCGGTTTCTGATGGTGGTCTAACATTGATCAACTGATGATTTCAAATATGTAAAGAAACTTAGAGTCGAAATTCAATTAAGATTGTATTCACACAGGTTATTCCATAGATACAAATTCTATTCATTACATTTTCATGATACAATAATTCATTAAAAACAGCATTATATTACAGACAAGTATCTAATCTAATAGTCAAATTCTAGTTTCATTGATATTTATATCAGGTGAATTTTAATTATATACATTTTTATTACACATGATTAGTATAATTATGTTTTAAATTCTTGAAATAGATACATTCCGTTAACTAGACATTCTTTTCTTCAACAAGCATCCGTATAAGTTTATGTTGTATTATTATTTTGATTTGAGAGATTTGTTGTCATTTTGTTGTACCTCAAACCAATTAGAACAGTCACTTGCAAAGCCACATAAAAGATTTCATACAATTTGTTGTAACAGAAAACATTTCTGTCTTTCAATATAACGAAAATCTAATCGATCATAATGAAGTGTTACAGAGTTGAAATTACTGCTATTTTTGCGAGTTTATAATTTATTGTTACCGATATACAGAAGCACCTTAGATAAACCTCTGTTGCCATATGTTTTTCCTCAGCAGAGGCATGTGATAAAACGTTATATCACAGGTTTTGGCGTACTCAATATATGCATAGCAGTGGAATCTAGGTTGAAAAGACTTATCAACCAAATGTCCCTATGTCTCAATGCAGATTTCCATATCAACGCTCTATCTACAAAGATAAATTGGAAACTTTCGTGAGTACATTCCTTCACACAAGCTAGACAAATAAATGGCCATTTGGGCCCAGCGGGTTGATGGATGACGCCTCCTGCTAACCGGTTGCATATAGAGCGTAACACGATTCCTGAATTCCACTGCAAGCCACATATTGAATATTATCTGTCATTTTTAAAGTGAAACCTCTCGCCAATAACCATAATCCTTGTTCTAAGGTCTGTTCAAACCGGAAAAATTGATGAGATACATGTTTTGGTTCATTCACAATAACAACACTTACGAAAACAATGATCAATACTTCCAATATTTTATGAAGTGACTCATATGTTCAGAAGCATATCAGAAACATATATATGTTCAAGATTATTAAATCAGACATTTTAAAAAAGAATTAATTTTTATTTCATCTTTTATTATCCTAATTTTCCGTCAAAAACATGTCATTAGTAAAAGGAACACTACAAAAACAGCCAATAAAAGTGACTTTATACAGGTTTAATGTCAGATAGTAGGCGAAAATTAGAGAGAATTTTTCGGATTTATATTTCTTCCTAGTTAACAGTTACTAGTTAAGATCCTTTATAACTGGATGAACATTGATATACTTTGTAGAACTCAAGGTAATTGAACTCATCTTGAATAGTGATCATATAGAACTTGATCGATGAGTTTTGATCATCATTAAAATTACTAGACATTATCACAATTTGTGTTTTACTCAATGTTCAATTATTTCAAAACGTTAAGTTGTTTATTTGAACTTCATTAAATTATATCATTTAGCAGGCAACAGGTTTATTTTTCATTCTTGTTTAATAATCTAATTTGATTTCATCAATACTTATTTTTACAAAAATAAACTAACATTATATATCAGAATTATCTTCCTTCACATATCATTCAACATTTTCTTTTTAAAATAAATTTCAATGATTAGAATAAATTAGTAATATTTAAACACAATTTTTTCGGGGAAATCAGAAATGGCTCCTTTTTGAAGAAGACTAATAATCTAATTCTATTGTGTGCTTTTTTTATGTCCATTTACCAGAAGAGAAATATTTTCACGCATCATTGTATAGTGTCGGTGATCATGGTGACAGATTAGGTGTAGATATGTAGCTCTGTGTATTGCTTTATTGACAGGACCTGTACTGTATTTGTGCCTATTCTTTCAAAAACCATTAGTTATTCAGTCATTTAGAAAATAAACAAATAAGATAACAATAGATAGTTAATCTGTTACGAACATGAATTCAGTCGTCTTAAATAATTGCAAAAATTTATGAGTTTAACAGACAACTGAAATTATAAAAAAAATATAATCTACATTGAATGAACTAAGTTGGAAGTAAAAATGACTTGTATTTCATATAGATTGTGTAGTTAGGCTTTTTTTTATAAAAAAAAGCAAACCTAGATGACATTAACTACAATCCTATTTGTTTGAAACTTTAACTAGTTGTTAGGTTCATCACTAAGTATGCTTGAAATTATTACGCGAACGAGACAATGAACCAGCGTAAAGGTAGGCTACCAAAACGGCTAAAGAGAAGTCTTGGCATAGCGTAGAAAGTATATTCTACAAGCACGCAGCAAGTCCAATACAATCAAGCACACAAATCTCGTTTATTTATACATCATAGAAACGTTGTTGGGAGAGTCACAAAAATAGCACACTAAAATACACAGCAGCCAATCACAGTCAAGGAGTTTCCTGTTGCGAAATGAAATCTCAAGGTCAGCTGATCAGCCCATGCTGGCAAATATGAAATCCGAAATAAGGCGCATTTATCAAGAGAGTTCTGAGGATCTAACATCCCCAGCACTAGTACACTTTCATGTACAAACCATAATATATGGTTATTTGAAAAAAGAGTGACACTCATTTACTGACAAGCGTTTGAGGGGAAAAAATACTACAGATAAAAAATTTTTCTCTAATTATGTATTCTTTCTAAAGAAACTTGGGAATGGTGTAGAATGAAAGATTATGAAATCTAGTAAACTTTTAGTTGACTAAGCTTTATTTCACCATTATGGCATCAGATCTTCAAACCATTAACTGAAAGAATTCACCATTATTTGTATACTGTTCATTGGCATTTATATACTAAATTATATATATATTGCTTGCTATTCAACTAGATCATTGATAAACTAACTCGATTATCTCAGTTATTGCAATACATTAAAACATTGAAAAAAAAATACCAATCGATTTTCTGTCGATTGATTTTCCTAATGTTTTTGCAAATGTAATCTATGCAAAATTTTAATGATATCTAATCATGTTACATAATGAAATCTACAAAAGTTTGTCAGTTTTACGTAATCATATCAAATCATTGAAATGCTTAATTGCGAGTACTAAATATTTTAATAATCAGATTACTATTTACAATATTGATAATAATAATAATAATAATATATGGTAAATATGCGTTAGACAATCGTATTGCGGACATTGAATAGCTTATAATTTAAATGGAAACTAGTAAAAATTGAACATTTATACGAAGCTGGTGGGTGTGAAGGAGCCGAAGGCGAAGTTGGTGGTGCTAGGGACGCTACTAAGAGGTAGGGCAAAGGCCGTATATGACAACTAAGTTTATATTTTGTCGTAAGCTTCATTTCGCTATATCATTTTATAATTTATTCTTCTGTAATTCCTAACAGTTTAGGTTATTCTTATTGTTCAGCAGCTTAACTATACCCAATAATTCCTGTCATATTTGCATTCATTTACCAAGCGAATGCTACATGTTAGAATGACATTTTCATGAAAAATTTCATTTTCAGTCTTATTGTTCATTATAACTGTTTGTCAGCTAGTATGTTGAGCTGTGCTACACTGGATACTTTTAGAACAAACAACCACAGATAACTTCAGTTTAGCATAACACAAGATATTTTATACATAAAACTTATATTTTAACCAAACTATTCACATTTTATAAAATAACACTGTTTATGAACTTGGAAATGAAATTCCACACATTAGATGAGTGGATTTTTCTCTTATGACTTACTTACGCCTGTTACACAAGTGGAGCATAGGCCACTCACCAGCATTCTCCAACCTACTTTGTCCTGCACCTTCCTTTTCAGTTCCATTATTTTATGTTCAGTTCATTATTTTATGTCAGCTTTCGATCCCAGGCGTAGTATGTTCATTCGTCTTCCTCTTCTGCTCTGGCCTTGATAATTCAAAATAAGTGATCGTCTTGTGATGCAGTTGGATGCTTTCCTCAATGCCTGTCTTATCCTCTTACAGTGCTTTTTCCTAATTTCTTTATCTGCTGGAATCCGGTTTGCCCTATCCCACAATGGGTTATTGCTGATGGTGTCTGGCCAA